GTGTTCGAAAGTAAACGGGTATCTCTCCGAACTTTCTCGCTTCTTCACTACAAAGTGTCTAGCCCTCTCCCCTACGAAATCCTCTGCGACCCTGTTTTCAACCTCGACGAAGGAGGTCAGGCTACCGCTGGGAATTCACGTCGATGACACACCAATTCCGACGGTGAATAACCCCAAAATACTCGGAGTAACCTTCGACAGCCTGCTCTCCCTCTCTGCGCACGCAACCGCTATTGTCAATAAAGTACAGAGCCGCAACAAGGTCCTCCAGTCGCTAGCCGGCAGTACTTGAGGCAAAGACAAAGAAACGTTGCTGGCAACATACAAGGCAATAGGCCGGCCGGTTCTGAACTACGCAGCGCCAGTGTGGTCCCCGGGTACTAGTAGGACGCAGTGGGCGAAGCTACAGACTGCACAGAACACCGCACTCAGGACAGCGACAGGATGCCTCCTGATGTCGCCCGAACACCATCTTCCCGGCGAGGCGGAAATGCTCCCCGTAAAGGAGCACAACATAATGCTCTGCAAGCAGTTCCTGATCGGGAGCCACAGAAGTGGCCACCCAAACAGACAGCTGCTTGCAGAGGAGCCCTCGCCTAGGCACGCCAGGAGGCATCTATATGAACTGACGGACGAAGTCCAGAGGTTCATCAAGCAACCTCTGGACCCGACAGCTTACCGACTGGCCCTGAACGGCATTCACAGGGAGTCAGTCTCGAGTTATGTAGACTCTAGACCTGTGAATGCCGTTCTAGGCATACCGCCCCCGAGACACTGACGAGACGGAGCTTCATCTTCCTCGGGAGACTCGAACGACACTAGCACAACTTCGCTCCGGCTACTGCAGCAGGTTAAACTCCTACCTGAGTAGATTGAATGAGGATGTGCCAAATGAGTGTCCGGCATGCGGAGAGACCCCACATGACTCGAAAAATCTCTTCGCATGCCCGGAAAACCCGACAACCCTAACGGCCTTGTCCCTGTGGACCAACCCCACAGAAGCTGCACGCACAGGGCTGCCGTTAGTGGAACTTGACGACAACGACTGAGATACCAACCGTCCTGGGCGGGGTTGTTGTAGCCGCTACAACAACAACAACAACAGTGTAGGTTATCAAGCTTAGATTGCAACAAAAAAGTCTTGTGAGCTTCTGATCACTGAGAAAAACTTTAGATCGTCAGCATATAACAAATACTTAGATGACTGGAAGCATGATACAATATCATTTATGAATAGGACAAATAAAAGAGGGCCCACGGAAGTTAGAAGGAAGATATTTTTTAAAATATGTCCTCGGCAAAATTATTCTTATCACGGATAATTAACGGCAAATTATCCGATAGGAATGTCTGCTTTGGGAAAAAGTTGTCCTGCCAACTTAAGAGAGGTCAAGGACAGGCCCGACCTGACTTCGTCACGGGGCTTTCGAAAAACATTATATAACTCAGGATCGAAATATTCTGAGTCAAAAAATTAGGTGTTAACCAAATATGAGCTCAATCTGCGGACTACATCAGCTTTTGTTCTCATTCCAGAAACGTTTTGGAAATAAGTTTTGATTTTACTATGTGCAACCACACTATTAGTGCTATCGACTGGCTTTGTATTGTCAGTTAATTCTGGTAATAAACAACTAGGATTATTAGCATCCACTAAGACGGGAACATTCCCACGAAAGCCGGTTCTACGTACCGGAATGACTCAGGTTTTACCCGACGAAGGGCTGTTATTTCGGCGATCTAACCCCGTTTAGGTCGGCGAAATCCATCAAACGTTGCTCGATTCAGGGCTGGTATAGAGCCTAACCCAGGGCCAGAAATTTACACCTGCTGCGTATGCCAGAGACGACTGCATACAAACTCCACCTCGGTCAGGTGCAATGCCTGTG